GTGCACAAGAAGGAGCCATGCTCTGCCTGTTGGGAGAAGCCACCTAAATATTCCATCCATTCATCTGTTCAGAACATTTAAAAATGAACTATGATACAATCATTCCATGATATACTCTACAGCAGTTATTAGCTTTCTATGTCCTAACATGGATATATCTTCAAGGCAAAGTGTTGAGTGGAAAAAAACAAAAAACAAAAAAACCCAAACTTGTGGTATTCACTTGCACACCTAGAAATTAGCCAAACAGAACTGAATACAGCTTCTTTGTAAAAGGTTAATATGGGGGCGCATGGGTGGCTCTATCAGTTAAGCGTCCCACTTCAACTCAGGTCATGATCTCCAGGTTCATGGGTTCAAGCCCTGCTTTGAGCTCTGTGCTGCAAGCTTGGAGCTTGGAGCCTGGAGCCCGCTTCAGATTCTGTCTGTCTCTCTCTCTCACTTTCTCTCTCTCTCTCTCTCTCTCTCTCTCTGCCCCTCCCACACTCATGCTCTGTCTCTCTCTCAAAAAATAAAACATTAAAAAAATTTAAGAGAAAGGTTAATGTGAATAAAACTAAAGATCTCCTTGAATGGGAAAATCCCATGCCTCACAGACTGTATATATATATATATATATTTTAATTTCCCTTTTTATGTACTCTATGCACTGTTTATATTATACTCTATGCACTGCTTTAAATGTTTGCGGTGGCAGCTTTTGTTTTTGTTTTGTTTTTTACTTAATCATAAATTATGGTGTTTTCTCCATAGCCTTCCAGAGCCTTACATCATTCTTTTTTTTTTATGTTTATTTATTTCAGAGAGAGAGAGAGAGAGCAGGTGAAGGGGCAGAGAGAAAAAAGAGAGAGAATCCCAAGGAGACTTCATGCTGTCAGTGTAGAGCTGGACAAGGGGCTTGATCTCACGAAACAAGAGATCGTGACTTGAGCTGAAATCAAGAGTTGGACGCCCAACTGACTGAGCCAGTCAGGCCCCTTACATCATTCTTTTTATTAGATGGTCACTATGACCATTTTTATACTTCCCTACTAATGGGTATTTAGCTTGTTTTGAGGCTTCTGCTAATACAATGAAAGTATAGTGAACTTCCTGGGTTGAAGATACACACATTTTACGTTTGAGTAGCTACTGTTAAAATGCCATCCAAAGTGGCTGTACCAATTTACACTCCCTCCAGCAGGGGACGGAGATTCATAACCATTTCCCTATCCCCTCACTCTTAATAAAAATAACAGTCTTCTACCCTTTTGCTAAACTGGTGGGCAAAATGTTATTTTGATTTGCATTTCCTTGATAGATATGAGATTGAATATTATTTCATTTGTCCTTTGGCTTTTCAAGTTTATTTTCCCATGAATTGCTAATTTATATCCTTGGAAATTTTTAAATCACGTTGTCCATTTCTGATTGGTTTGTGTGAACTTTTTATATATTATAGATACTGGTCTCCCCCCCTCCCCCATCACACACACACACACACACACACACACACACACTGTATTTGTCAGCTTGGGCTGCCATAACAAAATAGACTGCGTGGCTTAAAGAACAGAAATTTATTTTCCTACAGTCCTAGAGGCCGGAAGTCCCAGATCAGAATGCAGGTAGGGTTGGTTTCCCATGAGAGCTCTCTCCCTGGCTTGTAGCAGGCACCATCTTGCAAGAGAGCTGTTTGGTGACTCATCTGAGGACACTAATCCTAATCCTATCATATCAAGGCCCCATGCTTGTGATCTTATTGAACCTTAATTACCTCCTTACAGGCCCTGTCTCCAAACAGTCATATTGGGGATTCAGGCTTCAGCATATGAATTTGAATGGGATATATTTCAGTCTATAGCACATATATATAGCAACTATTTTCTATTGCCATGTAGCTTTGTTTATTTTCTTGTGGTATAAGCCACAGAACATTAACTTTAATATCTTAACCATTTTTATTTTTTTAAGTTTATTTATCTATTTATTTTATTTTTTAAAAACTTTTAGCAATTCTACACCTAATGTGCGGCTTGAACTCATGAACCTGAGACCAACAGTCACACGCTCTTCCGACTGAGCCATCTAGGAGCCCCTGTTAACCAGTTTTAAGTGTACAGTTCAGCAACGTCAAATACATTTAGATCATTGTGCAACCAATCTCCAGAACTCTTTTCATCTTGCGATACTGGAATCCATACCCTCTAAACAATTTCCCATCCCCCTCTCCTCACCTCCTGGTAAACACCATTCTACTTTCTATCTCAATGAATTTGACTGCTCTAGGTACCTCGTATAACTAGAATCATACAGCTTTGTCTTTTTTTGTGACTGGCTTACAACTCCCCATTGTAGCATAAATCAAAATTTCTTTCCTTTTAATGGTTGAATAACATTCCACTGTAAGCAAACATTATGTTTTGTTTACCCTTTCACCTGTCAGTGGATATCTACCTTGCTTCTACCTTTTAGCTATTGTGACTAATGCTGCTATGAATACGGGTCTACAAACATCTCTTTGAGACCCTGTTTTGAATTCTTTTGGACATATACCCAAAGGTTGAATTGCTGGGTTATATGGTGATTCCATTTTTAAGTTTTTGAAGGGTTGCCACACTGTTTCCACAGTGGCTGCACCATTTTACACTTCTGCCTGTAGTGGACAAGGTGCCAGTTTCTCCACATCCTTGCCAACACTTGCTTTTTTTTTTTTTTTTTTATAGTAGTCATCTGCTGTGGTCTGAATGTTTGTGCTTCTTGGGGTCTTTGGGCGGTGGTTAATGAGGTGGAGCTCTCATGAATGGAATGAGTGCTTTTATAAAAGAGACCCCATAGAGCTCCCTAGTCCCTTCTGCCATGTGAGGATACAATGAGAAGTCTTTGACCCAGAAGAGGGCCTTCATTTGACCATGCTGGCACTCTGATCTCGGGCTTCTCGGCTCCAGAACTGTGAGAAATAAACTTCTGTTGCTATATGCTACTCAGTCAATAATATTTTGTTATAGTCGTTTCAGCAGACAAAAGCATCATCCTGAATATGAGGTGATTCAGGTTTGCTTTGATGCTTTTTATATCACAAGGCAAGCCAGAGGCAAGAAAACAAGCATGGTTAGGTGTAAGGGGCTGATTTGAGTCAGTTAGCCTGGGTTCAAATCCTGATTCTACCACATTCTAGCTATGTGACCTGTTAGAAACAAGACAACAGGTCCAAAATGGAGTCACTTATGCGAACCCCCATGTCACCAAACAGAGACTTAATTACAGTTTTGGTTCTCCTAGGAATGGTATCTTAAACCAGTCAGTCGGGGACCGCCTGAGTCAGCACTAGTTAGGTTACCTGCCTGATAGACTCCTGCCATCTCCTAAAGGAACTTTGCAATAATCAACTTGGTTTTTTTTCCCTTTCTCCCCTCCTATCTCTCTTCCTTCCTCCCTTCCTTCCTCCCTCCCTCCTTCTCTCTCTCCTCTTCCTTCCTTCCTTCCTTTTTCTTTTTCTTTCTTTCTTTCTTTCTTTCTTTCTTTCTTTCTTTCTTTCTTTCTTTCTTTCTTTCTTTCTTTCTTTCTTTCTTTCTTTCTTTCCTATTATAACTTCATTGTTCCCGCTCCCTTCTGCCTGTAAAAGTCTTTCGTTTTCTGCAGCTCCTTGAAGTTCCTTTCTATCTGCCAGATTTAAATCAATTTTTGCTTAAATAAACACATATACCTCAGCTTATTCTTTAACTGACCTCATGCAAATTACTTCAAGCTCTATTGCCCCAACTGTGAAATGGGTATAATAGTCACACCATTCTTTCAGAGTTTAAGGATCAAGGAAGATAATGTACTTAAAAGGGCTTAGCACAAAGTGAACTCAAATGTTCGATCTTTCATGTCTTATTTAAAAGAATCATCTCCACCCTAGAGGAATAAACATTCTCCTATTTTCCCCTTCTAATTCTTCTCTAGTTTTGATTTCACACCTAGGTATTTAAGTCAATTGAAAAGAAATTTTCGCATGATATGCAAAAGGGTAGCCAATTGTTCACTGACTAGTGTTTCCTTTTGCCACTGACTCTATCATCTCTTACTCTAGCTACACGGGGTCCATTTTTGGACTCTCCTCTCTGCCCAACGGATCTATTCCTGAGTGGACACCACTTCCTAGAGCTTTAGAAAGTAATGCTAGCAGCTGAGAGTGAACCCAGTTTGTTGTTCCTTTTCAAAACTGGCTTTTCTTGCACACGGTTTTTCTAAACTCAGCCTATTAGGTCTTAAAAATAAACCCTGGTGGGCTTTTGAAGGAACTGTCCTGAAAAACTAATTTGGAGGAAAATTGATGTGTTTACAGGATGGTGTCCTCTCACCGGGAAACCTTTGTCTCCCAGAATTCTGTTTCTCCCTTCTCAGCCAACCCAGGTAGAGCTGAGTGTTCTCTTTCACCAAGGATCGGATCATAACCACAATGGATAAAAGCTCTTATTACCCTACCCGCCCTTGGAGAAAAAGGAGCTTGGAGACAAACGGCCAAATGAAGTAATTTGAACAAGGAGTTGACCAATCGGTTTTGGGGAGACAGGCTATTCAGGGTGGTGACCTTGGAAACGCTTCTGACGGTTTGCCAAGACAGGCCCCTGGGCCTCCTGGACTCTCTCCTCTGATGGCTCTGACAATGGGCAGCTTTGCAAGGAGCAACTAGAGAATTCCAGAAATCACAGGGCTCTGGGACTGGGGCCTGGTTTTAATCCCCCCAAACCCACTGTACATATGAAGAAAGGGAGGTTGAGAGGTGGGAGCAAGAGACAAATATATGGGTCTAGTCTCCCCCGCCATCCCCAGAATTGAGCTTGACTTAGCAGGAGGCTTGAGTGCCATCTGAAGGTGGGGGAGAATGTACCCCGTCCCCAGAGCTCCATCCCGGCCCCAAACAGAACAGTGGCCATGTCTCAGGATTTCACTTTTCCATGGGGCAGTTCCCTCCCTCCCATTAGGCTCCCCCTCCCCCCACCTCCTTCCCCTTTAAGAAGAGACCAGTCCTTGGCTTATGCCATTCATAGGGTTTATTGTCACTTGCCAGCGGTGGGCAGAGGAAGGGGACACACAGCCAAGCCTCACCACAGGAGAGGTGGCACCGGACCACCCAGCACTCCCACTCGGTTCACACGGAGGGCCGGGTCCTCACTGGCAGCAGCTACACTTCTCGGCCTCAGCCTCGGTGCCCTCGCCACCTTTGCACACACAGTCCTTGGCGCATTTCTCGCACTCCGCAGGGCAGCAGGAGCAGCAGCCTGCAGACCAGATAGAGAATGCCCAGTCCCACGGCCTCTCCCCGCGTCTGTCTCCACCAAAAAGGAGGGGGGAAAGGAGGGGTGCCAGGGGCCCAGGCACTGCCCCCTTCCTGGTCTCACACGCAGTTTGACTCAGCATCTGTGGCACTACCGAGGGGGAGGAGCGCCCAGTAGGTCACCCACAGCCCCTTGTGTGGGCGCAGGGGAGTCCTGGGGATGGGGTGAGGGGTAGTGCTGGACCTTAAGGAGAAAACATCACGGGTAAACAATGGCCTTGAAAAGGGACTTGAAGGATAAACCTGGAGGAACAGAGTGTAGGGGGTCCAGGGATCGGTGGGAGGTTCTATGGCTAGACTCACACACCTCCCACCTCCCACCCCCCAAGCATATTGCACTGCTTCCAGGGGACTTGGGGGAGGTCAAATTGAGGGGACCTCAAAGGCCTGAGAGGGGCCAAGGGACGAAAACTCCAGAGCGAGCCCCCAGCTTCACCACTCCCTTCTCCAGGCACTTGAGGTTTTGAGGTGAGAGTTTGGACCAGGGTAGCCAGTCTCCATCCTAGCTGCCCGTTAGAATCCGGGAATATACAGAAACATCTGGGCCCAGGCATATTGAACCAGTCACCGGGGGCAGGGCCTCTCCAGGTGGATCTGTCTCAGTAAGAGTTAAAAGCAATGTAGCAAGGGATCTGGGAGTCTCTCCATCTTGGGTAAGCAGATGCTGACTTCAGGGAGCAGGGGGGCAGGGAAGGGTGGGGGGGTTCCCCCACACTCACTCTTCTTGCAGGAGGTGCATTTGCATCCCTCACACTTGCAGGAGCCGTTGCAGGTACAGGAACCACCTAGAGGCAGGACGCCACAGGAAGGGTTAAAGTGCTATAACTGGTGTGAGGCCAGGCATAAAGGAGGAGGTGGGGTGCCAAATCTCGGTGCCCTTTGGGACATGGCCATATCTACCCTTCAACGAGGTTAGAAATGGCAAACATGGAGGGTACCTTCCCCCCCAAGGTCCTTGAGCAGAGGTGCAGGGCATCCGATTCTTTGCAAGTCAGGGACGCGCTGGGCCCAGGATGGGGGCGGGGGCTCACCAGTAGTGCAAGGGCAGGTCTCGGGGTCCATGTCCAGAGGAGCCGCCGCTGGAGGAGGTGAACTGGCTTCTCCCGGCAACTGGACGCACTGGTGGCAGCAGGTGGCGAGGCTTTTATAGCCCCAGGCGGGGGCGCGCATGCACAGCCCGCTCGCGCGCGGCGCCCCCTCTCTCCATCTGGGCACAGGCTTAGGCGGACGCGCGCATTGCGGCAGCCGTCCCCCCGCCCCCGTCCTGGGCCCGGCCTGGAAGCTCCCCCAACCCCACCCCACCCCGCAGCCGTGTGCGTGCACTACCGGGTGCGCGCGGCGCCTCAACTCCTCTCCCGGGGCCACTTCCCTCCGCGTGCACAGGGGAGGACACCCCTCGCTCATCCGTGTGCACCTCTGGGGACGCGTCCGCAGCCGCAGCCGCCCCTGACCGAAAGTGCGCACTTCTCGCCTTAAACACGGCAGCACGGCATGTTTCCCAGCCCTTCCCTGCCTCTCCTCTCTTCTTATTCCAGGATTCTGGGGCGCCAGGTTAGTCAAAATGGGGTGCTGCGCTAGGACACCCCCTCCCCCCATTCCCTCATCTCTTAGCAAACAGGAAAATAATCCTAACACCAATGGAAGGGCCTTGCAAACTGGTTTTGGGAGGGGCTGGCTCTGGGAAGCCCAAAGGACAGCGCTGGGGTGACTGGTGGGAGGTTTGGGGGGAAGAGGGGTGGGCCTAGGTGGCTGCATCCCACGTTCACAGGGAAGCAGCTCTCCTTTTATCTTTTCCTTCTGCTGAGTCCCTTGTGCCTGTGGTAGGCTGAAAATATGTGTCCCCAAAAGATATCCATGCCAAATCCCAGAACCTGTAACCATTACCTTACTTCGAAAAGGAGTCTTTGTAGATGTCATTAAATTAAGGATCTTGGAATGGGATCATCTTGGATTGGGCCCTAAATCCAATGACAAGTATCCTTATAAGATACACAGAGAATAGACAGAAGAGGAGGCAGTGTGACCACAGGAGACGGAGATTGGAGTGATGTGGCCTATGGCCACCAGACCCAAAAGAGTTCACATCCTTCCTATGAGCCTCACTGTCCTTGCTCAGCAAGTGAAGACACTCAATCCTCAGGAAACAGAGGAGCAAAGGAAAGCGTTAGATAACTGGTCAAAGCTATGGAAGTAGAGGAAAGAATTGCTAATGGTGGCATTTCAGACAGTCAGTCGATCACTACAGTGTTTGAGAGGTGGAGGTTGGAGGCGAACATCCTAGGCCCTCTCAAGAATAGAAGTTCCTTTGCAAGCCCTCCCGAAGAACTCTTATCGGCTCTCCTGTCCTAGCTTCCACTTCTTTAAAAATATTTTTTTAAATATTTTATTTATTTTTGAGAGAGAGATAGAGACAGCATGAGCAGGGGAGGGTCAGAGAGAGAGGGAGGCACAGAATCTGAAGCAGGCTCCAGGCTCTGAACTAGCTGTCAGCACAGAGCCTGATGCGGGACTTGAACCCACAAACCGTGAGAACATGACCTGAGCTGAAGTCGGACGCTTAACCGACTAAGCCACCCAGGCGCCCCTAAAAACATTTTTTTGAGCGGAGTGGAGGTTGGGGGGGTGACACAGAATCCAAAGCAGACTCCAGCCTCGGAGCTGTCAACACGGAGCCCGACATGGGGCTCGAACCCAAGAATAGTGAGATCATGACCTGAGCCGAAGTCGGATACCCAACCTACTGAGCCACCCAGGCGCCCCTCTACTTCTTTTAAGGAGACACCCCCTTAGCACCTGCATCCCTCCCTCTTTAGAGGTGATCCCTAGGCTGTCCCCAAGGAAGACAGATCTGGTGAGCCTTCAGACTTTGGTTTTGCTGACTGGGGGAGACTGAGACTCAGAGACTGAGCACTGCTCCAGACGTCCCCAGAGCAGAGTGAGCCTCTGTCCTAGATCAGAGCTGGATGAGAATTTTCGACTGTTCGTTGGAAACCTGCCCTCCTTCAAGATATGAGCTGCCCCAGGGACCTCCAAAGGGCCTCATGTGAGGAGTTGAGCTAGCTGGTCCCGCATGTGTTGGTCTGTGAGTCGAACCAACCAATCACCATTCAGTAATGGTGGAAGAGGAGAAAACCAGAAGAGGAGAATCAAGAGGCCCAGGAGACATTATCATGTGATACCTCAAGGTATGCGGTGAAGTCCAGGTTGGTTCTCAACATAGACCTCATGCAATTTCAGATTGCAGAGCCTCACCAACCCTAGCATTACAGTTTATTTCCTGTTTGTTTTCATATTGCCTAAGGATACTCTGGCCCCAGTCTGGAATTGTTTATAGCCCTCAGGGCTTCAATATCTAGGACTTTCAGTGCAAGGGAAGTGGACAAGCCAACACATTTAGTCAGAGCTGCCCCCGCTCTCACCCCTCAGGCCTTTCAGGCTTCCTTGGGATTGAGGCTTCAGGCGTGGGAGAGCAGTCCCACCCCACCCCAACCCCTCACGGGTGTGTGAACTCAGCTGGGCTAAGGGATGTCCCAGAGAGCTGTAAAACATTATTTCTGAGTGTGTCTGTGAGGGTGTTTCTCGAAGAGATTAGCATTTGCATTGGTAGACTGAGTAAAGAAGAGCGCCCTCACCAGTGTGGGTGGGCATCATGGATCTATTCTGGGCACCAATAGAACAAAAAGGCAAGAGAGGGCAAATTTGCTCTTCGCCTGAGCAGCAACATCCATCTTCTCCTGCCCTCAGGTATTGGTGTTCCTGGGTCTCAGGCTTCCAGACTCAGGCCGAATTATACCACCGGCTTCCTTGGTATCCAGCTTTCAGAGGACAGATTGTAGGACTTCTCAGCTTCTATAATTGTGTGAGCCAATTCCTATAATAAATATATATATATAAGTGCTTATTATATATGTAATATGTATATCATGTCAAGATCCACCAGGCACCTGGGTGGCTCAGTTGGTTAAGTGTCCGACTCTTGGTTTCGGCTCAGGTCAGGATCTCATGGCGGGCTCCACTCTGTCATCATGGAGCCTGCTTGGGATTCTCTCTCTCCCCTACCCCCTCTCTCTGTGCCCCTCCCCTGCTCGATCGCTCTCTCAAAATAAGGGAGCCCTGACTCATGTACATAGCACATCCAAGGGTTGCCAGGATATTGAAGGGTCTGAAAACCACAACATCCTTCTGAAACACACTATCTCTCCACCCATTCTTCACATGGGTGGCTCTCATCTCTCAGTTCCCAGCTTCTATGAGCTCCAAAGAACATTTTATATAGGTGTGTCCTTCCAGAGGGTCTCCCTCATGTCCACCTTTATTCCCCTCCGTCCTGTCATTAATTTTCACAGCCTAAAATGATTTGTCCATGCTCCTGCCCATGCCGCACCTCCCCTGGGGTATCCACAGGGCTCTCTCTTTTCTTTCTTTGCTTCTAAGTCTTTGCCCAAATCTTGCTGTCTCCATGAAGCCGACCATGATCACCCTACTTAAAAGCAGCACATGTCTCAAACTGCCAGGACTTCTGGTCCCCCATATCTTGCTCTATCTTTTCTTTTTTCACGACATTTAACACCATCTGACAAACTAAAATAATTGACTTATAAAGTTTATACGCAGTCGGTCACCCCTGCTAGAATGTAGGCATCAAAAGCCTATAAGGGATCATTGCTTTTGTTCACAGACAGGTCCGAAGTGCCTAGAACAGTGTTCTGTATGTGGGAGATATTCAAGACACACTTCCTGAATGAAAAAATGAATGAATGGCTCTCAAGTCAAGCTGGCTGGGTTCACAGTCTGTCCCTGCCATCAACTAGTGATGGGGTAAGTTGTTAGCAAGTTGCTTAATATTTCCATGCCTTGAGTTGCTCAAGGGTTCCCACTTGTGATTCCTAAATGGGAATAATAGTAATTCCTACCTCACAGGTTTGTCAGAGGCTTAAATTGGATGACCCTTGGAAAGCTCTCTGGGCAGGGCCCTGACCTTGCTGGCTTTTCCCATGTACAAGTGAGTGTGAGCCTGGGGAGGTCCGAGGAGGACGCCACAGAGAGCCTGGGATCCCTCTGACTCCTTCGGGACGCCCAGCTCCACCGTCCTCCTCAGCTCTGTGCTCCCTGAATCGCTGCTGCTTCCACAGGATTCCAGGTGAAAGCTTGGACCAGATAAATCACAGCCATTGGTCCTCCTTTTGGCACCCGCCCCCGACCCCAGGGCTTTCTGGGAGAAGGGAGTTCACAGAGACGTTTTTTACTTTCCAATTACATTGGGGCCAGGAGGCGGGGACAGGTAGGCTGAGGGGTGGAGATCATTCAGGGTGATCAACTAATGGACAGAAAATCTCCAGATGAGCTCAGAAAAAAGCAAGGAGTCTAGCGAGTTCCACCTCTAGCTGAAATGGATCCTGGGCAGCATTAGATGGTTGCACTGCCCTCAAAGGGCCTCCTAATTGACTCTCCTGGGACGAGCAATTGACCAGGAATTCAGCAGCCTGGGGACAGAGATGTACCAAGAGAGTTTGCAGATAGTGCTTATCTACAAATAAAGCCATTTCTTGGAGAGATCTGGCTTTATTAGTCAAATGAATGTTAAGTGAGCAGTTTTATCCACAGGGGCAGCTGAAACAGAAAGGGCTCTGGTCACAGAGAGGGTAAGGAGGTGGAAGGTGGGGGTGCGGTGGGGTGGGGCGGGGCGGAGGCTCATCAGGCCATAGAACAACTTAACTAGAAATGTAATAACCCTCTGCCTCCGTGACTACCTCCTGTTTATGGCAAATGATTTAGTCTCTCCTCCATAGTAGTGATACAAGATCTCCTTTTAACATAAATTTAAGTGTAATAATAGACCAGGTGATAGGTGATTATGCCTAAAATCGTGTAGGTGGCTCTCGAAGGACAGCAGTCAGGGAAATATAGTCCCACACCAGGCTGGTCCCCTGAGTGCTCAGGTCCAACTTGGCTTCTGGTTCTGTCTCCTCTGCCCTCCTGTACCCTTCCTAGCCAGGCATTGGCACCTTTTGCATGGATTCTAAAGGCCACGAGGAGACTGTTCTTTTCTCTGATCACTGGTGGGATGGGAAGTGTTGGGAGGAGGAGGCAGGGAAAGCCTCCAATCTTCCAGGTTTCAGAAGGTGGCCAGGTTGACCCCAGCAATCGTGCTGATTCCTGGGGTTTACTCCTACCTCTAAGAATTTTCTCCAAGGGGCTCCTCCATAGAATAGGAACAGAGGTGGCCTGTCATCCCCTCTCAGTGACGGGCCTTGGGGAGTAGTCATTAAACCCTGAGCAAGTCAGGGCTCAAGCTGAACTGAGCTGGGCATTGGTGGGTTGGAGTTCAAGGGCCACCACTTGTGGAAGTTCTTGTGTGTGTTGGGGGCAGGAGCTCTGTGGCTGGGGGGGGTGGTGGTTATGATGAGGGAAGGATCCGTTTTAGCTGGGGCACCAGGAGAAGGCCCTCCCAAACTGTAGGAGACACTCTGGGTGTCAGCTTGGCAGCCACAGCAGGGCAACAGGGTCCTGCACCGCTCACATAACCCAGACCACTCTGACACTACTGCCAGAATCTTCTTCCTACATGCCGTGAGGGAAGACTGAAGTCCTTCAGAGAGACTGGCTTTGGTGTCAGACAGACCTGATTTTGAATCTCCCATTTCCCTCAGCTCCTTACCTCCTTACCTCTTGGGTTGTAGTGAACATTCAGGGAGATTCTTCATGCAGATTGCTTAATATGTTATAGGTATTCCACAAACAGTGCTCAGTGGGCACTTCTGTGTTCAGCAATCTTCTGGGATCTGGAACTAGCAACTGATGGACTCCAGTTCCTCTGGGCCTACTTTTCCATGTAGAGTCTGGCCCTCACCTACACTGGCAACCAAATGTAACCCATGCTAACCCCGAAATATCCCCCCTAAGCTTTCCTGCCTCCATGCTTTTGTGCATTGCAATTACCCCTTCTTGAAATGTCCTGCCCACAATTTTCACTTGCTTAAAATCCTACATAGGCTTCGAGGCCCTGCTTTAATACTGCCTCCTTCAGGAAGTCTTCAGTCCTGCCTGCAGCCAGACATAACTGCCCTTCTTGGAACTTCAATGGGGTTTTGCCTAGATATTTTCTTCCCTGTAGGAAAGGAGAGAGGGTATTCCTACAGCCTCCCTGACAGACTTGGAGGTCCCTAAAGGCAGAGGCTGAGAGAGGAGTTTCTTTCCTCTCCTCTCTTCTATGCTTAGCAAGCTCCCTGCACATCTGAAATGTCTTTGAAGGCTAAGTGAATGAATCAGTGTGAGACTGGAGAGTCTGACTTTGGGGTCACCCCTTTTTATGGGACCCCTTGAAGGCCAGGTCATGAAGAGTCAGGTTAAATTCTATATGTACTAATGAAGTTGCCCGGTGGCCCCCACCATCCTGCTTTGCGAAACGAGTGACGTGGTGGTGAATTCTCTCCTTCCATATCACAAACACTTATTGAGCACTGCACAATCCAGACATTGTGCTAGGAATGGCAGATTCAAAGGTGAGCAGGACAATGACCATCTTTTCTGAAAACCCACTGTCTGGGCAAGGAGGCATTTAATAAGAAATCTACACTTAGCAAGCTAAGCGCTGCCAGGAGAGAGCATAGCATGTTAGTGCCCGTGCCTTCCTGCATAAACCAGTCTCCCGTCCTCTCTCTCTCCCTTCCTTATTAGATCCCCCTCCACCACCACCCACTGCCCAGGTCTAGGGACAGGCAGCATTGCCTTTTTCCAGAAACAACCCCAGCACGGCTTGACCTAGCACTCAAGGTCTGTCTCACATCTCATCTTCCTTCGGTGCTTCTCTCCTGTTTGGCAGTTTTGCCCCCAGGGGACATTTGGCAATGTCTGAAAGCATTTTAGTTGTCACAAGGTGGCGGCAACAGCGGTGGTGGTGGGGGGGGGGAGGGGTGAGGGGTGATGCTTCTGGGATCTAATGGGTAGAGGCTGGGGATGCTACTAAACCGCAGATAATCTCACACGTCAATAGTGCTGAGATGGAGGAACCTTGCTTTACTTTCTCCTTTAACAACTTCCAAGATGATTTGTAGGAACTCAAACATAATAGGGAAGGGAACCAGGGGCATCAGAACCCCGGCCTCATCACCAGCTGGTGTCTTTGGACCCCTGACATCCTCTGTCAAATGTGGAGAATCATGCCTAGCCCCGCCTCCTTGACCAAGGTGACAGGGGACTGAAATACCAGAAAGTAAGTGAGAGCACTTGCCCAGGGTGGTTGATGGTGAGGCTGGGTCTGGAGAGGGAGGGAAGCCTCCATTTAGTGAATGTGTATTGAACTGTAGTCACATGGCCCAAAATTTCCAAGACTATTTCAGTTCCAAGTACTCTGCCTTTTCCTTGCCTCTAAAAATAAATTGTACAATTCAGGCCATCTGCACCTCAGATTAAAAAACATCTGGGTCTAGCTCCCCTCTCCCGCTTTTTCCTTCTTTGTTTATTGTAGAAATTTTGAAAAAATTAAAAAATACATATACAATCTTTTCAAATGTAAAAATAGAAGCCTGCAGTATACACTGATTTATAAATGACTTTTTTCCTTGCTTATCAGTAGATTACGAACATCTGTCCATGAAGTTAGTTTCATTTCTACAATTTTATTTTAGTAGGTTTATCCCACAATTTATTTTAAGTGGTTGTCTACTTTGACACACTTTTCTCATTTTCAGATCTTCACTATTATAACCCGTGATGTGATAAACATCTTGGTAGCTTTTGTGTGTGTAGATTCATGATTTTTTCCTCAGTATACAACATTCCTTATGCTAGAATTGCTGGCTCAAAGGGTGCATTTTTCCCCCTTTTCAAACAGTATTTGCTTATTTAAAAAAATGCTACTTCAGTAACTTTAGAAAAATCCAAAAAAATAGAAGGAAAAGGAAAAATTATCTTTTATCTGTGCTTTGAACACAACCACTGCTAACAGTGTAGCATATTTCATTTCCATATTTTATATTTTGTGTGGCTTCTTTTTTATTTTATTTATTATTTATTTTTAAATGTTTATTTATTTTGAGAGAGAGAGAGAGTACGAGCTGGGGGGATGGGGTGGGGGAGAAGGGCAAAGAAAGGGAGACAGAGAGAGAATCCCAAGCAGGCTCCATGCTGCCAGCCCAGAGATCCCACCAACCATGAGATCATGAACTGAGCCAAAATCAAGAATCGAATGCCTAACCAGCTTAGCTACCCAGGTGCCCCTGTGTGGCTTCTTTAAAAAAAAAAAAATACTGTATAGCTAATTTGTAGCCTAATATTTACTTAAGATTTTACCATACTTATTTCCTGTGTTTTTGCATTTTTTAGTGTCTGTATCATATCCTGTTATGTGTGAGGGCCATTGCTTACTTGAAGGATTTCGTAGACTTGAGGCCGTTTCCAGTTTTTCACAATTGTGGATAGTACTTCAATGAATCTTTTTGTGTGAGTGATGCCTTCTTTTTAATGTTTATTTAATATTTTTGAGAGAGAGAGAGGCAGAGAAAGAGGGAAACAGAGGCTCTGTGCTGACAGCAGTGAGCCCAATGTAGGGCTCAAACTCATGACCTGAGCTGAAGCCCGAGGCTTAACCGACTGAGCCACCCAGGCGCCCCTGAGTGATGCTTTTTTATTTTCCCTTGAATTTGTGGCAGATTCTTTAGACAGGTTTCCAGAAGTGAAGTTACTGGGACAAAGGAAGATTTCATGGCTCTTAGACGTACATTGTCCTGGGAATCTGGGTGGTTTACACATCGCCTTTTAATGGGCCCTTGGAAAATGTTGCCTGATTTATCTTCCCTGCAACTGTGTCTAGGGTTCTAAGCCCTTTCTGGGATCTCTTGGGTCCCAAACCCAGCCAGACTGAGAGACAGTTATGACCTCAACTCTTGCACAATGTCCAGGGCTCACAGCTACTCCTCCACACCTGCCTCTGGACCTCGAGCGCCCCCTGCAGTCCATGTAAGGAACTTCCTTCCCCATCCTGTGACCTGCATTTCATTGCTTCTTCACCAAGCCTTCCTCTGGCTTCCATTCAAGTTGGACAATGTCCTGAGCAGGTGCAGACTCTGTCACAGTCTCTCAGCGGTCTCCGTTGTCCCTTAGGCGGTACAAGCACACAATCCATGATATGCCAACCTCCTGACACAGTACCTTCCAGCTCCCTGCAGCTCTTCCTTGAGAAAGCTCTTCTTTATCTTGATGTAAAATCTATTTCCTTGGTGTTTCCTCGCACTGTTCATGTTTTACTGCTCATGGCCACCTGTAACGAGTCTGCTCACTTTTCACTTCGGCACTTACCCCCCAGCTTATCTTACTTACCCTGCGGTCTTCAAGAGTCTCTCTCAACCATTTGTGGCTGAGTTTGGGAAGAGATCCTTAGCTTCTTTGAGTCTCAGTTTTCTCACCTGTAGAATGGAGATAAGAATCCCTATCCTGAAGCGTTGTTGTAAAGATAAATTAATACCACTAAAAAGCCTAGCCTGCAATTTTGGCTCAAGATGGTAGACTGAGCATATGCACTTACCTGTCCTTCCTCCTAAGAATCCATTGAAAGAAACTCAAGAAAGACAAAAAAGGGAAAAGAAAAAACTAATAAAGGAAGTGAGAATTGGTGCGGGGGAGGATGGCTTGGACAGCACATCAATGGATGAGAGGTTACAACATTTTTCTGGAATACTGGAATGGGTCAAATCACATTGATGGGTAAATGGGAGGACAAGAAGCCACAGCTCAGATCAAAAAGTAGAGACTTTGGGGGTTCTGTCTTATTATGTTTTGGTTTGGTTGGAGGAGTCAGGATGGGAGAACAGAAGAGAAAGTGGTCACAGAAACCAGGATGGGGACTGATAGAAGATGTAGCTATAGAAGAGCCTCGTGATCATCATGTCAGCCTCCTTCACGACCCCGCCAGTTGCCCCCAGCCTGAGGCTGTGAGATGTCTCAGAAGAAATGGAATAACCAGTCTAGGAGGGGCCAGGGCTCGCAGAAAAGGGTCCGAGGAGGCCCTTTTGGTTTTGACACTGAGGGATGGGCCACACCTGCTTGCCAGCTCCCCACCTGGACATGCTTAACCCAAGCCTGCCGGTCAGCAAGCCTCCTTGACACCCCTAGAGCCTGCTGGCAGCTCAAAGAAGCAGAAATAGTTCCAGAAAGAGGAAACTTTATGACAAAAATTAAAAAAACATTTAGTGTATCAGAGAGATTCAGGAAATGACTTCATTTAATCAAACAAACAAGGTGTTATGATAAATGTTTAGAGAAGAAGTTCTTATATATTAAAATATGATTGACCCAATTTTCAAAGATCAGTAAAAGGATTGCAAATAGGCTGAGAAATTTCTCAAAACCTTCTGATGAAAAATAAAGGGCAGCCCATGTTAGTGTTTATAGCAGCAACACTGAATGTGAGAAGACAGTGGAGCGATGCTTTCTAAAGTGCTAAAAAAATGATACCGAACTTCAAATTGGATATCCAGCCAGATTACCAGTCAGGCGTGAGAGAAAAATAAAGGTGCTTTCTGATGTTTAAGGAGTTCAAAACCTCTTCTTAATTCATCCTTTTGGTAAAAAATTGCTTGAGGATGTACTCCAGCAAAATAGAAAGGAGCCCGAGATAGAGGATGATGGGGTAATCCAGGAAACAATGGATCTAACCTCGGAGAATGATGAAAAGACATCCCAGAAAGATAGTAGTACAGAGATGAGGAAAGAAGGCAATATATAGTATATTGGTCAATGAATAGCAAGAAGGAAAAGGCGATTAGAAACGCAAGGAAAAACAAAAGCCTCATGGTCCTTGATGGCCACCGCGACCTAGGCTGGTGGAGTTGACGGCTGCTCCCAGCCTCTAATGGGCCCTGGTATTGTCGGCATGAATGAACACCGCCCCTGAGCTTGAGTTCTCCCCGCCACATCTGGAAACGATGCAGGGGAGATGTTGGGCCCAGTGCCTGGCAAGAAGTGAGTGCTCAGTATTTTAATCTGTTATTAGACCACTTTATTCTTTTAAGTAACAGATACCGTGCATGTGGCATAGGTTCTTATCCAAGATCTCCTCGGGGATCCAGGCTCAGGGGGCCTGTGAATTCTCTAAGATCAGATGTAAAATTGAGTGAGGGTTTTAGTATGTGCATTTTTAGGCAGAGGAAGGCTCACTGCTGCCAGTGTTTCTTTCTTTCTTTTTTTTAAATGCTTAATTTGAGAGAGAGAGAGAGAGAACAGGAGGAGGCAGAGAGAGAGGGAGACACAGAATCTGAAGCAGGCTCAGAGCTGTGCTGACAGCTCTGAGTCTGACGCGGGGCTTGAACTCACAAACCATGAGATCATGACCCGAGCCGCGCCGGCTCCGACAGGTCCAGGGGTCCCTGAAGGATGGATGGTGTCGGCGAAAGAGAGTGAGAGAGCCCCGAGATTCTTTCTGATCACCAGGCAGGCATCTCTGTCCTGTCAGTTTCGGTGTCTTTATTTATAGGTTAAATGATAACATGACATCAGAAAAAGGAATTTTTACAATGGATAACTCTTTGTGATAAGATGCTTTGGAAAGTGTACAGAAGCAGGTTTTACAGAAATATTCTTGCAGAACTATTCCAATTATAGTGAGGTTAAGTAAATCTTATAACTAAAGATGTAGCAGGGTATTCTTAGTAAAAGACAGGATACATATTTGTTCTAAGTTAATAACGCTAAGGTTAGGTCATAGGTTAAGTGTAAAGATAATGCTTTAGCTACTCTTATCTATCCTCATCCCAGCCACCTGTAAGGGAGGGTATTTGCAGAAAGTAGGCCTTGGGGAAGGGACTGCCGTCCATCACCAATTAGGAGAAGGTGTAAGTGTTAACTTAAGTTCTGCCCTTATCTGTACCTTAACTCTAAATTAGGCTCTTTGTCTCGGGCCAGGCTCAGTTGTAATTCTTGTGTTCTTAACCCCATAAGTCTTGGATCTGCAAGGCCCTTAGGAAGAGCCTTTTGACAATCATCCATAGAGCTTTCATCTAAAATCTCTCTTGTAAAGGCAGGAATATGCTTTTCCTTATGAGGTATCTGTGTTCAGAATATTGGTCTGATATGGAATATTGTGAGGCCTGGTCAATACCAGCACAACATGAGCCAGTAGTAGCAGGAGATACCAGTTTTCATTTCTCATGGCAGTAGCTGTGCAAACACTGCCATTTCCTTGCTGTGATTGCCCTCAATAGAGGCCGGTGCGGCCCTCGACAAAGCCTGATGCTTAACTGACTGAGCCGCCCAGGCGCCCCTGCCAGTGTGTCATATAAATGTTTATGGTCCCTGCTCTGCACAGTCTCTGGCAGGTGGTAGGCTCAGTGACAACTCTGCCATGAAAGAGACACGTATGGAGTTTCCTCTTTGTCTCCCATTGTGTTTCCTCCATTGATTCTTGTTTGGTCACCATATCTTTTTGTGATTTAATCTTATTTTTCCTTCTACATACTCTTCTCTCTTAAGTGGAAAAAAGGACTTGACAGAGAAATTACTATATAAGGGAAAACACCAAGTTTCCCCAGCTACATAGTACACTGGTGTGTGTGTGTGTGTGTGTGTGTGATGCAGTGTGTCACACGTGCTTGTACAGGCAGGGAATATCCCTGGAATATAAGTAGGTGGTTATAGTCATTGTCTTGAGGAGGAGGGACTGGGGGGGCAAAGGTGGGAAGGAGACTTAAACCCTTTGTATCTTTTGTATTTTCTACATTATATATGTAGACCTATTTAAAAATAAGTTGTTTTTTTTTTTTAAATCAAGGATTCCTCCACGCAACCCACCCCTTGCAGGGCTCTTGAAGGGATTAAATGATAGTGTGTGTAAAATGCTCAGCACCGTGGCTGATGCGTTATAAGCGCTGCATAATGACATAATGGCAGCACTTAGAGTCATCAAGCTTAGTTGGACTTGGGCCAGGGCAGCAAAAGCTCTGATGCCTGTGTCAGCAATCTGGTGGGGGAGGCGGGGGGAGGAGGTAGCAAAGACCTCAGATTCTCTTTACATTGACTTCTGTGACATGTAAGAACTTCAATGAATGGTGTCAGTTTCTCCTGGCTTGTGTCTGTCTGTCACCCAGTCCCAAAGTGGGCCCAAATAACCAAACCAGGGTGCTAGCGCCCTCAGTACCTTGGCCTTGGGGGTTTTCCTCAGATCCACACAGACCTCCTACCCTAGGAGATCATGGACAGTTCAGGGCTAGAGTTCCTTAAACAGCACCATTCATACAATGAGGCATCCTGGGCAGCTTTATGCCAGGAGAGCCTGCCTAAGATTGAGCTGGTTCCAAAGCAGACCCTGTACAAGAAGTTTTGTTGGATGGGGATCCCAGGAAGCACTGGTGGGAGAATGGAGAAGTGAGTCAGGGAAAGAAGGAAGCTGATATGGAGTATGTTAATGAGCAGGTTACCACCCGCAGGCACCTGTCAGATTTGTCAGTAAAGATGGGGTAAAGATGGGGAGGGGCAGTATTCGTCCACCAACTTCCCTTTGTCACCAAAGGACTGTCCCCAGGGGCACTGATTTCCCAGTACTCCTGGCCTGCTCTGTGCAGGCCTCAAGCGAGCGCGTGCAGCAGGAGAGAGCCTTCCAGGCAGAGTTGCAGCTTCGTGTAATTAGCACCCCTCTGCGAAGGGGTGCGGGTTGGCACCTAGCATGTCTGCGACAGCGTCAACCCTTCTCGGTCCTGCGGGGTTACGGTAAGATAGTGCTCCGAGCCATCAGACAACCATGAGTGGAAACTTTATTACTGCAAGCACTTTACATGAATGTCACCAACACCACATCTGAGCAAATATATAAAAAGCATAACCTATTGTACAAGAATTCTAACTTCTAATGGTCTGTACAGATGCTTCCCAGGCCTTGCCTCCAGCATGACAGATGCGTTTCAGGGGCAGCAGCTGCACTTGTCTGAGCCCCCTTTGCAGATGCAGCCCCGGGCACACTTGGCACAGCCCGGGGGGCAGCAAGGACAGCAGCCTGGAAGGGTCAGAAGACAGACGGGTCAGTTTGGGGGCCACACCCCCATCTTCCCACTTACTCTCCCGCCACTTAGTGAAAGCAGAGCATGCCACAGGCCGCAGTCCACGTTAGCAGGAGACCTGGGATAGGAGCTTGTGGGGTGTTAGAGCCAGAGGGGACCTCGGGCGTCATCAAGAATTTGCCAGATGCTCCGAGAGGGGAAGGGGTTTGCTCAAGGTCATTGGTCAGTGGCAGATCAAGACTAAAACTCAGAGCTCATGACTCCAGGCCAGTGCTCCTTCTCTTTCACCACTGGCCACAACAGGACCTCCCGGCAGCCCTCTTCCTATGCAAGCCTCTGGAAACTGCTTCGTCCCACCATGGCTGGGGGGTTGAGAAGGGCGGGAACAGACTTTCCTGGCTTCTGGCCGGGGGTGTACCTGGTCAGCAGAACTCACTTTTTCGACACGTTTTACAGTTGCAAGTTGTGCATTTGCAGTTGTCTCCACAGATGCAAATGCCTCCTAGAAGAGAAGACAGAGCCACAGTGTAAGGATTGAGGTCGAACAGGGACACGTGCTGTACTGCACATCATCACGGTGGCCAAGTCCATGGGCTGTCCTTGGGGAGGGGCTGGGCAAGAGGGGGAGGTGCCGCTGAGCCTCACAGGGGTGTGCAGGGCCCCTTAATGGTTCCCGGTCACAGACCGTGGATGGAAACCGGGGTTGCTGTGCCCAGCCCTGCAGCCGGGATACTTGCTACACTGCGGATTTCTGGGCCCGACCCTTGAGATATTCTGATTCATAAGTCTGGGGGGAGAAAAGGGAATCATATTTTTTAATGTTTAGTTTTGAGAGGTGAGGAGGGACAGAGAGAGGCAGGAAAGAGGATCTGAGGCAGGCTCTGCGTTGACAGCGGAGAACCTGGATGCGGGACTTGAACTCTTGAACCTTGAGCTGGCGACCTGAGCCGAAGTCGGACACCTAACCATTGAGCCACCCAAGGGCCCCGGGAATCATATTTTAAAAAGTGACCCAGATGATTCTGATGTATAGTCAGGTCTGAGAACCCCTAGACTAGGCCACGTCTACTAAGCCCAAGGTCCCCCAAGGGCTATCGAAGCCTTGTATACCCTCCTCACCTTTTCAAGGCATCAGGCAAGATGGCAACCCCAAATGGGCAGGAGAAAGAGCCAGGGACATAAATAACCTCCGAGTGACAGCCCCGGCCATAGCTTGTTTTCATACAAAAGCCATCCACGCTTAAAAAAACAGAATCATCCCACCTATCATTGTGAGTGTCAAAATGCTGGAAGCTTCTGTCTCTTTGGCAAGTTTTGGGTATAGACATGTCCCGTATAGGACCAGAGAGGCTTATGAAAATTCTTGATAACATTTCCTAAGGCCATAAAGACCAGGATGTCCCTAAACTCTGACCTCTGTCCTCCTGTGCTATGCGCTTACGTGAAATTAAGGGATTTCAGAGACTCGGGGGCCCATGTAGGCTTCTAATAACTCCCGTGACATCTTCAAGTGCCTTATGATTTTAACACTTTCATAACAACACTGGGGGGTGGGCAGCTGGGGACGAGTGACCCTAGTTTTTTGGATGAGGAAACTGAGTGTCGGAAATATGAAGTGTCAGGAATGAATGGCAGCCATGGGCTAAAACCAGATTGCCAGATTCTGAGCCACAGCACCTCCTCAACTCTGGTGGCTGCCCCTAGGGGCCTGACACTAAGTGCCCCTCAATGCTACCAATCAGGCTGGTAGGCAACAGAGTGGGAGCTGCCCCGGAGGTCACCCGTCTGAGACAAACCCCACTGACAGCTCCTAATTGGAGGAAGAGAAATATTCATCAGAGCCCTGTGGGGTTCCTATCAGAAGCTGGTGCAAGGTCCCAGGACCCCAGAACAGGCATGCTTACTCACCAGACATACAGGTGCATTCCCCGGGGTCCATGGTCCAGGTGTTCAGGAGGCTCCAGTGCTATCACAGCTGGGGAAGAGAAGCTGAGCGAGCAGCTGCTGGAGGTTCCCTATTTATAGCTGTGTAGGTGTGCACTTGGGCGCACCCCACCTGTCCCTGGGGCCAGACGCCCTGCACACGGCCCAGCCAGACGCTGTGGGCTGGGGGTTGGAGAGAGCGGGCAGAAGGAGGGCAGAGGAGAGGGAGGGCAGTACAGTCACACAGGTGGCTTCTCACAAGGGGTGCAGGTGGCTCATCCACCCATCTGCCCATGTGCCAAGGTGTCAGGGAGCCAGGCTTAGGCTCCAGTGGCACTCATAATGCTCAGATTGGCTGCTGTACCTGTCTGCTCACCAGGCCCTATGCAATCTGCCATTTCTCCTCCTTTCTTCATAGGGCCTGGCTCGGGGCCTCATGCCATCTCTCCTGATCCTTCTCCCCTGACCATGGGTGGAAGGGGGCATCTATCCAGGGCCTTGGGCTTTAGAAAGCCCCACTGAGGCCTTCTTTTGGCAAGTCCTCCAGGCTCCCCGGGTGAGAAGGCCAAAGGTCAGCAGCATATGCCCAACCGAAGTGTGCAACCTCTCCTTCTAGACCATACACATAACACTCTGGATTCTGGAATCTTCTCTCATCCCAAGCCAGCTTGCTTCCAAGGGTTTGCTCAGACCTCTGCCCCAGGCTCCCAAGGGCCCATGGGCAGCCAGCATGTGTCACTCTAGGCCTGAAGGGTGGCTGGAGGTAGCTGTTTGCTGGGGGTACAGAGTTTGGATGTGTGGGCTGGGTGCCCACTGGTGTGCGTGAGGCCTCTCCGAGTGAGGGAAGGAGCTAGGGATGGGAAAGGAAGGGCAGTGGACCCCAGATTGGGGGTTGGGGCCATGGAGCATATCTCTAGGCACCTTCCAGTGCGAGGATTTGAGAATTAAACATTTGAAGCTGGTCCTTTAGGTGGCTATGAAGCTCTCTTTGTCACAGTAGGGGGATAGAATATTTTATTTGTTAATTTGATTTATAACTTTTAGATATTTTAGCCAGTGGCATGTGAACCTCCATTTGTGCTCTTGTTCTGCCTCCCTAAACATTAGGAGGGGCCTGGAGCCAGCCTTCTGTGGGCTTCTGTGCTTCTCTTCATTCTCCATGCTGCTTTGGAGATAGAGCCACCAAATAGCATTGGCCTTGTTATTCTCTTGCTGAAACCTTCAGTGGCTCCCACCTTCCACTGAATGAACTTGCATTCCAAGCTCAACTTACCTTTCCCAGGTCATTGCTCACTCTTCCCTTCTATCTGCTCCACCAAAACCTAAGGACTCCAGGCTCCCTGTACCTGCCTTGAACTTTTCCACATCCAGGCCTCTACTCCTATCAGGTGTTCATCTTTCTCTACTCCCTTGAGTCCAAATAAATCCTCCTCATTTACCGAAGCATGAGCTCAAATGCCATTTGTTGAGTAGTAGACGCAAGAGGGGCTCTGTGGAGAACTAGCCCCCATCTGCATTGCAACCTCATTCTCTGATATAGGCAGTGGATTGCTCTTCAGTCCTATGTAAAGTGCTCTCCTGATGATGTGGCTTCAAACTGCCCCCAAAGCTGCCACCCTCACCCGCTGTCCACGGAGAAATTCTAGAGCTGCCACTGGTGACACTTGCTCCAGGAAGCTGCCTCTGGTCTCCCCCTTCCTCACCTGGAAGACATCTTTTCTTCTGGGACCCCTCAGTGATGTGTGTGTGTATTTCTCATAACATTTACTACTGAATGTTTCTCATGATATTACATTACTGAAGCATCTCTCTTCCTTAGTGTTCTGCACAATGTTTATGAGAGGAAGGAAGGAGGGAAAGAAGGAAGGAGATGAATGGTCAGAGGTCTGAAGACATGAATGAGAGAGTGAGTGGACACAAGGGGACAAATGAATGAGCAAGTGGCTGATGAGTGGACGTATAAATGCATGAGGATCCTGCCTGTGAGTACTGGGGACCCCTGTTGAAAAATACCATCACCATTCAGAAAGGTAAAAAAGATGGGGCCTGCCCATAACCAGTGGAGATAGATTCTCCCTTGTGTAAGTTGCCGGGGTCTCCGTTACTCATCCATAAGGACCAGCAAGGCCTCAGTCTGACCCATGGAACCATGGGTTTGAGCTCAGAGGTTCTAGTGAGGAGAAAGGAATTCAGCCGTGTGGTCGTCAGCTGGGCACGGGGAGGGTCAGTAGGGGCAATATTGTAGTGATCTAGAAATGGTCCCTGCCTGAAAGGAGTTCACAGCCTTCCAGGGGATCCAGGCGCATTCATTCATTCACCTCCTTTGAAGGGCCGGCACTGTGCTGGACCCTGGGGAGCCGAGCATGAGTTAAACCAGAGGTTACAGTTGCGAAGGTCAGGAGGACATCGCAGCCCGAGAAATCCCTGACTGGGCAGGGGTTTGAAGGCTGGCTTCGTCATCTCTTTCCAAGTCCATCTCTTGGCAGGCTCAGCTCCCCCACCTCACCTCTTCTGTGTGCCCTGCAGCAGATACTAATGCCTTAGAAGGTCTAGCCCCACCTATGAGCCCAGAGCGAGGAAGGGACTATCCTTTCCCCTCGTCTAAGCCATCTCTTCTTCCTCTTTCCTGTCTGAGCCTCAAATGGGCTTCTTCCTCGGCTGGTTGGCACTGTGATGTTGCTGAAGGCCCCACCTGAATGATAATCTCAGAATTCTGTCCCATGGCATGAAGGTATTTCCCAGGTGCTGGGCTGTGCAGATTGAAACGACCATGTGTGGCATGGGGGAGTTGAGTCCATGCTGAGCTGTGCCCCAGGCTGTCCCGTTCCTTTTCCACGGTCCTTCTTCCAAATGCCCAGAGAGGCACATCCACAGGCCGCTTTTGCCCTTTTGCCTGTCTTCTGGGCCGCAGCTCCAGATCTCTGCGTGGAGCATGAAGACAAGAATACGCACACCACCCCGAGAACATGCAATGGCTTTAGGCACAGCTTAAATCCACCCTTGGAAAATTAATATTTCAAAGACATGTTAATTCATCTTCAAAGAAGTGATCCATAGCTTTCTTGCAGGATTCAGGGAGCCCTGTGAAA